GCATGCGTCGGCTGATGCGGGCAGGACGAGGGACAAGTGGTATACTCTAACGGGAGCGGGAGCAGGTGGGTGCCTGTCCCGCTGATGGACAGGGACGACTGCACTTGCTGCCGAATTTATTACACATTGGGCTTTATCTTTCTTTCTTTTCCGTTTTTTTTTTGTGTGGGTGTGAAATGGAGAAGACGGTTATGGTGGTAAAATTTGCTTTGCTTCGGCTTCCGATTGAAATTCCCTCCGTATTTGGCGTTTCCCGTGTGGCGGGATGTGGGGCCGGGGCGTGCTGCTGCGCTGAGGGGATGTGCGGCGCTGCATCTCCTCCCCCTTTTTGTGGCTGCGGCATCCCTTTGCTCTTTTCCCTCCCTCCTTCGTGTCCCTCCTGCAGACAAGGCAACTGCCGCTGCCAACACAGCCACTCCCAGCAGGCCAACACACACGCGCTTTCCCCGAGCCATGCGCCGGCCACGCTGCCCCGCGCCGCTTCTCCCGCTGGCGGCGCTCCTGCTGCTGCTGGCGATGCACTGCGCTGGCGGGTGCCTCGCCGCCGCCCCCGCCCTCAACCACCGCTGCAACTTCGACGAGGCGATGCGGAAGAGCGGCCCGCTGCCGACGGCGGTGGTGCGTGAGGTGCCGCGCAGGGGAGAGGGCGCGGCGCAGGCGTACGGCACAACAACACCGCCGCAGCGCACTTTAAGGACCATGAAAAATGCGGCAACGATGGGAGTGCTGCGGTTGCTGTGCTCTCCAGTCTTCTTGTTGTCGCAGTAGCCTCGGTGGTGGTGAAGCTGTCGCTTTGAGTAGCAGCCGTAGCGGCTGGGAGCATGCACTGCGCAGGAGGGCAATAATGCCGCGGTGTTTATCGCGGAGCAGGCCTTTTTAATGTGTAAATGTAGGATTGTTTCTATGCAACGTTCTTCTGTCTCCACCAATCCTGGCCTTTTAGCAGCGGGTGATTAAAACATGCGTTTATTGCGAGTACAGCACCAAGAGTGGTGAGAAGGGGAGTTGCGCGTTGCGTTTGTGGGGCATTCTTTGGACGCGAGTAAAAAAGAGGAAGATTTGGGGCATGTTCTGCCTGTCTATTTTTCGTCCTCTAGCTTACGTGTATAACAGTGTTTATTTTTGATTGTACTCACTTCCTCTTTGAATTAAGAGAAAGAAGGGGAGTATTGGCAATTTGTTTGCCCTCGTTTTTTGTTGTTGTCTTTGTTTTGTTTAGGCCCAAAGGGCGTGTCGTGGAAGAGGTGTGAAGGGCTGTCTGGTGGTTCGTACGCCGTTTGTTGGAGCGAGGGGCCCTCGGCCGCATACTTTCCTTGTCTTGGTTTTTCGCAGCGGATTTGCATCTAATTGAACTTTTGTGCTGAGTCTTTGAGGTTCTCATCTCGGTACCGCACGTTGCGTGTCCGGTTATCATTGTACATGTCTTCTGAATTCTTTTGATGGCATGTGTGGGAGTCTCTGTGTGTGAACCTTTTTTGAGGTGGTGGGGCGTGCCAGGTGCACACTGAACCACACCGTGATCTTCCACTCTTGTACTTGCTTGCTCTCTTTGTGTAGGAACCGAAAGGGGAGGCCTCAGCCGGGCGTCTGTGTTTTTGTTTGTTCGTTTGTTTTACGTGTGTTGCCGTTCCGTTGTGGTGGGCTGCTGCCGCTTTGCTGAGCAGTGCCGTGTGCAGCCATGGGTGATAGTCTCGAGCCCCAACGGCTGATAGACCGTCTTGGCGAGCTGTTGACGGCGTGGGCGAGGGATGGAGGCTCCTCCGAGCTTGCGGCGCAGCTTGTGGAGGTGTACTGGAGTTTCATGCGGGCGGTGCATCACGATCTTGTGCTGAAGGAGCCCCAGGGCGCCGCCTTGGCCACCGCAGCCTGCATTCCTGTGTGGGAGATGCTGCACTTATACGGCGGTTCCTTCGGCGGCATCAGTGGGGCAAGTAGGGCGTTTGTCGTGGGCCTCCTGACGGCCCTGTACCCCAAGACGAGGGATCGTCGCTGCCTCTTCCAGCACTTGGGCTGCGTTGGCGGCTTGGGGTCCCCGCGCGTTCCGCTCGCCAACCGCCTTCCCATGTGGGCGGAGGTGATGCGGTGGACAAGCGACGAACGCCCCGTGCCGGGCGCCTACGGCGAGGTTGTGGCGTACGTCCAAAACACGGTGTCAGCCGAAGAGTGCATTCTCAGCCGCACCTCCTGCAACAGTTTGAAGGCGAAAATAAAACTGCTGATGGAAGACGTCTTGCCGCACTGTCACTTTGTTGCGGGGGACGCCGAGGCAGCGTCGGTCGCCGCGGCGCATCCAGCCGCGGTTGTGATCTCCACCAGTGGCGAGCCCTCTGCGTCGATGCGGTCACAGGAGGTCCTGAAGCAGACCGTGTGGAAGTATTTGATTCTTCTGCATGTTTACCTCCCCGAGGAGCGAAGGGCGCTGGGTAACTTTCTTACCACCTCCGCCTGGGCTCAGCAGCGCGTGCGTCTTCCGGACGATTCGATGGTGACGTACGCCGCCCTTATGGCTCCCGTCGTCCATGAGGCGGCGGTGTGTGCCTCGCTTATGCCCTCCGTCGCGAGTGACGCCGCGGATAACGCCCCGCTTCTCCACCCACGCGTGCTGGACGTGCTGCTGCCAAAGCCAAAGGCAACCCGGGAATTTGCACCGCCGCCGGAGGATTTGACCAAGGCCTTTGTCCCCGACAAGATACAGAAAAGGTGCGTTAGCGTTGCCCGTACCACGGTGGCTGCTGTGCGGGAGCTGCTTGAGGAGTCCATTCCGCAAGAAATCGCATTTGCGGGGGAGAGTACGTCGTGTCGCGATTGCGACAAACTAACTCAGTTCTGTCGAGATGTTCTCTTCTCACCCGTCGCACAGCACACCGCTGCCGGTGGTGCTGCTGCTCTCTCTCCCCGAGCCATGAGGTGCATGCTGTTTGACCGGAAGCGGAGACGCGACGACGGGTTTTACGAAGGCCCCGTGTTTTTGCCCGTCGCCTCCAGCCTGTCGGGGGTGCTTGACGAGAAGGCCGCGAACCAGCCACTTTCTGCGCTGGAGCGTATTGTAACAGCTTTTGACTCGCTCCGATGAGCATGGCGTTACTACATCCCGCTCTCTCACCCGCAGTGGTTGGATCTTCACCGTCGTTGTTGTTTTGGTTGTCCTTCTTCCTAGTTACCTCTGCCACACTTCCGTTGCCACCGCTGTTTGCTTGCCACGAATTCCGTTGCGCTGGCCGCCTCGTTTATATATATATATATATATATATACATTTATGCTGTCTTCTTTTTTTATTGCTTCCTTTGTTGCATGCACGAACATTGGGCCTTGTGGCTTCGGCAGAGTTGTGAAGGGTGTATTATTTATTCCGTTCAATTATCAGCAGTTATTTGTTTCTGTGGTCTGTGGGAAAGGGCGTCATCCCCGCATCGGTGCACGGCGAGACACGGGAAAAAAGAGACGATGTCTGCAACGGAGCTGAACCCGGCGCTCTCGCCGCTTCAGCGGCAGGCCGCCTTGAAGAAGTACCCGGCGGTCCCAAAGGTGTGCGTCGTCACGGGGGGAACGGGGTTTGTGGGCATGCGGCTGGTGGAGATGCTGGTGGAGCGCGGGGCCGAGCGCGTGGTTTGCTTTGACATCGTCCCGGTGGAGAAAACCGTCGGCGCGTGGCGGCACCCCGCCATAGAGTACGTCGTCGGCGACATCACAAACTACGAGGACGTCTCAAAGGCCATCAAGGGAGCCGACTGCGTCTGGCACTTGGCGGCGGCGGTGGGTCCCTTTCATCCGCGCGAATTGTACCACAGTGTGAACTACGGGGGGACGATGAACGTCATTCGTGCGTGCAAAGAGTGGGGTGTCCACAAGCTGGTGATGAGCAGCTCCCCCTCGACCCGCTTCAAGGGAAGTCTGTTTCACCGCCCCTGCGTGGATGGCCTGACAGAGGACGAAATGCCAAAGCTGCCGCTGGACGCGTACATGCAAATGTATGCAGAGACGAAAGCAAAGGCGGAGATGGCTGTGACAGCGGCCTGCTGCGACGATCTTCTTGTGGTGAGCGTGGCGCCCCATCAAGTGTATGGGCCGCGCGACAACCTGTTTTTGCCAAACATGCTGGAGGCGGCCGGAACAGGCAAGCTGCGTATTTTTGGCTCTGGAAGAAATCGCATCTGCTTCACGCACGTCGACAACTACGCCCATGGCCTTATCATCGCGGAGCGTCAGCTCTTCAAGGGCTCGCCCGTGCTGGGCAAATTTTACATCGTGACGGACGGCAGCACCCACCCCGAGCCCGACGCCTACTGTGTTTTCTGGAAGGAGCTGGACAAGGCCGTGGTGGCCATGGGGTTTCCCTCCATTGAGGAGAAGGCGCACTACAACTTTTGGTTCCTCTACGTGGTGGCCCTCTTCGCGGAGGTGCTGGGGTGGATTCTGGGCCGCGTCTTCAAACTGAACGTGTTCAACGTCTTTGTCTTGACGATGCACCGCTGGTTTCGAATCACGGCGGCGGAGAAGGAGCTGAAGTATGAGCCGATTATCCCCTTTGTCGAGGGCTGGGCCGACACCATTCTCTGGTTTAAGGCGCACTGGCTCCCCACCTTTGAACAGCAGGACCGCTCATGGTTTGGCCTCGCAAGGCGCTCACAGCAGAAGATCGACATTCAGGCGAAAAAGACAAGGTGAGGGGGTTTGGGGGGGGTTTGCAACTTTCTTTCTTCACTGGGTACAATCGGCCTGCCTGCCAGTCCTTCTGTACATATATATATATA